GCCTAGTGGTTAAGAGCGTTGGGCCAGTAACTGAACAGATGCTGGTTCGAATCCCAGAACTGACTAGATGAAAAATCTGTCAATGTGCCTTTGAGAAAGGCACTAAACCCTAATTGCTCCTGTAAGTCGCTCTGGATAAGAGCATGTGCTAAATGAAAAAAAATATATAAATTGTGTTTTCTGTCAATGCCAGGCTTCCTGCAACAGCCTTTCATTTCTTGTTCTGCACCACAACAAGCAAGTACTTTACTAACCCATAACCCTAGTACTGAGGTTAGTACTGAACTAACCCTAAGCTCCACACTCAACAGGGTATTAAAATACTTACTGATGACACGATGGTAACTCTAGTGGCTGGTATTCTGGAATCCAGCCTGTGGAGTATCTGTGACCTTTCCCTCATACGAAAAGAAATGTAAAGTGTACTAGGTTCAGAATTAAACTAACACATGATGCAGATTGGCCTGCCAACAAACGGGAAGAAGGTTACCTTGTCAATAAACGTAACACTTTTTTCATGCATTTGATTGTCTAAAAATAAGGACCAGGCATCCACAATGAATTTTAACACCTCTTTGCATTGCAGTGATTGTAACATAAGACAATACCAGACTACTCAACATAAGGAACAAGTCACACCAACTCGCCACAACAAAACCTGACCCAGACACAGCAGGTGATTGACCTAGCACAGGAGGACTACAAGCCCAAACACTGTACTTGGGAATATTCACACCTGTTGGTTTCCATTGAACACAGACAATATCAATCAATTGTAATATGTACGAATTTGATGATTGTCACATTAGCTGACGAAGATACTCACATTATTATTATTAGACAAAAGATGGTGGCCGTTTTGCTAGCTCCTCAACTTTGCTATTTTGTGTGCGTAAGGATCTCCCTGGACTATTTACACTCGCTGTGTCCTGTGCACGTGACAAATACACTTTTAAAAAATGTATTACTCCAAGCGTTCCAGCTATTTGTTTTCAGTTCAGTGCCATTGTTTTCTGGGTCAGCTCCCCCTCAGGATTATTCTGAGCTATGAAGGAGGTAGACGAAAAGTTGACCCCCCCCCCCCCCCCCCCCCATCATATGAAGCCTCCAGAAATATCCCAGACTGCTGGATCAGAAGCCCAGTCTCAGAAACCTCCACTGACAGAGGAGTGGAGAAGTCTTAGTGGGGGAGACTAACCAAAGAGGAAAACCTGGACACTTTTTTTGGGGGGGAAAAAGGTAAGACATTTTTTATTTTAATTGTTATTTGGCAACCTTGGTGCACTCTTTTTTTTTTTTTTTTTTATCTACATGGACCTGATGGTAATGAGCATTTTAGAATAATTATTATAAGTAGTACACTCCATGAGTTATTTCAGAAATCACTTAAATTATTTGAATTTAAGATGTAACACTTTTTCAAGGGGAGCATATCATATCATCATTTCATTGTCCAATCCCAACATAATCCCAGCATTATCCAACCTAAATACAACCTTCAATTTTGTTCTTCAAATCTATCGATTTGCATGACATGCTTGTGTTCGCCTTAATTTACAAGCCCACTTGTACATATGTTCCTTTACTTTGCACTTGCAGTTTCTGCCTGCCTGCCACGGTTCAGCAGTGAGTACATTAATACATGTGCACATGAGAGTCCTGTGCTATAGACCAATGGGAATTTGGTTTGCTGGTCTATTTATAAACTGTATCTACACTGCATGCAGGGCGATATGTGCTAATGGGATACTGTAGCTGTCTTATGACTTGAAAAACACGTCTTATATGGAGCAAATGATACGTTGCCCTTCAACTTGTATGTAGGGCAACTTTTTATGGCAGTAGGGGTGTGTTGAAGACTATGCCTGATGATGTTTGTTATGAATGAGCAGTACGTGACAGGACAACTTATGGAACAGTCTTTTTTTTTTCATTTGTAAAATATATATATTTTTTCACTTCAAATGCTGAGTCGTGTGCTTGTCCTAATTCCTTACTTGAGATAGTGGTGTCCGAAATGACTGACATCTTTGATAAAGATGAGCAATAATGACTGTATAAATAATTATAATACTGAGCTACAGTATACTGTATGCAAAAAAATTGGCAACTTTTATATTATTTTATACTAATAGAATTGCTCAGAGAAAGAGTGTTTGTTTAACAAGTAACACATTGATCTTTGACCCTCTAACTTTCTTACTTATCATTATTCACGATTCATTCAGGATTATCCGTAATCACGGTAGGATCCACATTAATGGAGAAGTGTTTAGACACATTCTTATTGGTAATAAGTGACTTCAAAATGATACAATACATTATTTTCCATTCATTTCTATTGGGCACAAAATAATCTAAAATGAACGGCAAATCCATCCAACAAGTTTGTAGTGTCACAAGCTCTCATTGCGTGCTAGGAATATGGGACCAAATACTAAGCTTTTGACTACTTTTTAAAATAAGAATCTTTAGGGGTGTCAATTTTTACCCGTACCTTTTCGAGAAAAATGTTTTTAACAAGTAAACTATGACAGACAAAATGAGATTTTTTTTTCTCCGAAAATCACATTGTAGGATTTTTAATGAATTTATTTGCAAATTATGGTGGAAAATAAGTATTTGGTCAACAAAAGTTTCTCAATACTTTGTTATATACCCTTTGTTGGCAATGACACAGGTCAAACGTTTTCTGTAAGTCTTCACAAGGTTTTCACACACTGTTGCTGCTATTTTGGCCCATTCCTCCATGCAGATCTCCTCTAGAGCAGTGATGTTTTGGGGCTGTCACTGGGCAACACGGACTTTCAACTCCCTCCAAAGATATTCTATGGGGTTGAGATCTGGAGACTGGCTAGGCCACTCCAGGACCTTGAAATGCTTCTTACGAAGCCACTCCTTCGTTGCCCGGGCGGTGTGTTTGGGATCATTGTCATGCTGAAAGACCCAGCCACGTTTCATCTTCAATGCCCTTGCTGATGGAAGGAGGTTTTCACTCAAAATCTCACGATACATGGCCCCATTCATTCTTTCCTTTACACGGATCAGTCGTCCTGGTCCCTTTGCAGAAAAACAGCCCCAAAGCATGATGTTTCCACCCCCATGCTTCACAGTAGGTATGGTGTTCTTTGGATGCAACTCAGCATTCTTTGTCCTCCAAACACGACGAGTTGAGTTTTTACCAAAAAGTTCTATTTTGGTTTCATCTGACCATATGACATTCTCCCAATCCTCTTCTGGATCATCCAAATGCACTCTAGCAAACTTCAGACGGGCCTGGACATGTACTGGCTTAAGCAGGGGGACACGTCTTGCACTGCAGGATTTGAGTCCCTGGCGGCGTAGTGTGTTACTAATGGTAGGCTTTGTTACTTTGGTCCCAGCTCTCTGCAGGTCATTCACTAGGTCCCCCCGTGTGGTTCTGGGATTTTTACTCACCGTTCTTGTGATCATTTTGACCCCACGGGGTGAGATCTTGCGTGGAGCCCCAGATCGAGGGAGATTATCAGTGATCTTGTATGTCTTCCATTTCCTAATAATTGCTCCCACAGTTGATTTCTTCAAACCAAGCTGCTTACCTATTGCAGATTCAGTCTTCCCAGCCTGGTGCAGGTCTACAATTTTGTTTCTGGTGTCCTTTGACAGCTCTTTGGTCTTGGCCATAGTGGAGTTTGGAGTGTGACTGTTTGAGGTTGTGGACAGGTGTCTTTTATACTGATAACAAGTTCAAACAGGTGTCATTAATACAGGTAACGAGTGGAGGACAGAGGAGCCTCTTAAAGAAGAAGTTACAGGTCTGTGAGAGGCAGAAATATTGCTTGTTTGTAGGTGACCAAATACTTATTTTCCACCATAATTTGCAAATAAATTCATTAAAAATCCTACAATGTGATTTTCTGGATTTTTTTCCCTCAATTTGTCTGTCATAGTTGACGTGTACCTATGATGAAAATTACAGGCCTCTCTCATCTTTTTAAGTGGGAGAACATGCACAATTGGTGGCTGACTAAATCCTTTTTTCCCCACTGTATAAATCGTTCTCTGAGCAACTGTAAAAGTGTAAAATCATATAATTTCCCAAATATTTTGGAGCATACAATATTTGCAAAGGACTGTAAAGGTTTGTTTGAATATGATGATATACAGTATATTTGGAATGTATTCATTTACATCATTTAGCAGACGCTCTTATCCAGACCCCTTTCCTTTTTCCACATATTTTTACGTTAGTCTTATTCTTAAAATTGATTAAATAAAAATGTTTCCTCATCAATCTACACACTACCCCATAATGACAAAGCAAAAACAGGTTTTTAGACATTGTTGAAAATGTATTACAAATAAAAATCTCGAAATTGAGCTCAGGTGCATCTTGTTTCCATTGATCATCCTTGAGCTGTTTCTACAACTTGAGTAGAGTCCACCTGTGGTAAATTCAATTGATTGGACATGATTTGGAAAGGCACACCTGTCTATATGTGACTAGTTTCAGGAAACTAGGCATATGTCGCGCATCACTACTTCACAGGATAGCCATTTGAACGTAAACGTTTTAAATTTTTATCAAAATTTGTTTATTTGCAGAAATACCTTCTGGAACGTGAACTTTCATATGCCTTAATAACCACCTGTAAATACGAATAAAATTGTTAAATTACGAGCCTAGTTGGTTAAGCAATCTTCCCACTAGCCATGACTGGCTGAGATAATGAGTGGGCTGGACATGCCGAGAGAGGAGTTCGGATTGGTCTGCCATATAGCACGCTTCTGTCTATTTGAGCTGGTCAGTATGTGTAGGTAATCCAGTCTAACGCGGCTTTAAAAATTTTTTATTGTAGTGGAGCTGCATAAGTGTTGCTCTCCACTTTCTGGAGGATCGAGTTTTGAAATCAGTGGCATTAGAGTATGATAGCTAAAGAGATGGAGAAAACACCTGTCTCCAGATTACATCTTCAAACTAAGGGCAACCATGGCATCCGTGACAGGGAGACGCATCCATCATGCATGATGTATACAGGTAAGATAGTCTAGCTAGCTACATTTTCAGATATTACACGTTTCTAATTTTGACAAAGTGGTTTCATTTCAAGTTAAGGTATACTGTTCGCTAGCTAGCTAACATTAGCTGGCTAGCTAACATTACTTGTATGATCTTTTTATTCGTATCTCAGCGTCATTTGCTTGCTAACATTGAACCTGGTTGGTTAGCTACCTTCAGATTCATGCAGGGTAGTAAAGTCATTTGTTGGGATTATGGTTCATTGTGTACCTAGCTAGCTACATGTCTTAACAAAAGACTCCACTATGCAAGTAACCATTTCAGGTGTGTTAGTAAATTCAGTCTGAGTATGCCAGAGTGCAGAATAACTGATGAATTTACGAACGCATAACACCTGTTGAATATGGCCGGTGTCAGTAAACGTTGGCAAAAAAGTGTGATTAAATTGTTGCCAGCAGCACAGTTAGTCACCAACGCTCTGGATAACATGAAAACAGCCTAACCAGCTCTGCTAGGGCGAGTAAAATGGTCAGTGGGTTGTTCTCTCATTAATAAGCTGGTTAGGCTGTTTTCATGTTATCAAGAGCATTGGTGACTAACTGTGCTGCTGGCAAGAATTTGATTAAATGAGAGAACACCCCACTGACCATTTTACTCGCCCTAGCAGAGCTGGTTAGGCTGTTTTCATGTTATCCAGAGGTAAACATTTCTGCAGCATTGAAGGTCCCCAAGAACACAGTGGCCTCCATCATTCTTAAATGGAAGAAGTTTGGTACCACCAAGACTCTTCCTAAAGCTGGACACCTGGCCAAACTGAGCAATCGGGGGAGAAGGGCCTTGATCAGGGAGGTGGAGATGGTCACACTTCCAGAGTTCCTCTGTGGAGATGGGAGAACCTTCCAGAAGGCACAACCATCTCTGCAGCACTCCACCAATCAGGCCTTTATGGTAGAGTGGCCAGATGGAAGCCACACCTCAGTAAAGGGCACATAACAGCCCGCTTGGAGTTTTCCAAAAGGCACCTAAAGGACTCAGACCATGAGAAACAAGAATCTCTGGTCTGACGAAACCAAGATTGAACTCTTTGACCTGAATGCCAAGCGTCAAGTCTGGAAGAAACCTGGAACCATCCCTACGGTGAAGCATGGTGGTGGCAGCATCATGCTGGGGGGATGTTTTTCAGTGGCAGGGACTGGGAGACTAGTCAGGATCGAGGGAAAGATGAACGGAGCAAAGTACAGAGAGGTCTTTAATGAAAACCTGCTCCAGAGCACTCAGGACCTCAGACTGGGGCGAGGGTTCACCTTCCAGCAGGACAACGACCCTAAGCACACAGCCAATACAACGCAGGAGTGGCTTCGGGACAAGTCTCTCAACGTCCTTGAGTGACCCAGCCAGAACCCGATCTAACATCTCTGGGAGACCTGCAAATGGCTATGCAGCGACGCTCCCCATCCAACCTGACAGAGCTTGAGAGTATCTGTAGAGAAGAATGGGAGAAACTCCCAGAATACAGGTGTGCGAAGCTTGTAGCATCATACCCAAGAAGAATCGAGGCTGTAATCGCTGCCAAAGGTGCTTCAACAAAGTACTGAGTAAAGGGTCTGAATACTTATGTAAATGTAATATTTCAGTTTCTATATACATTTGCTAAAATTTCAAAAAAATAGTTTTTGCTTTGTCATTATGGGGTATTGTGTGTTGATGGGGGGGGGGGGGGGGAACAATTTAATTTTAGAATAAGGCTATAACGTAACAAAATGTGAAAAAAGTCAAGGGGTCTGAATACTTTCCGAATGCACTGTACAGTATTGTACAGAAACTCATAGAATTGCGTTGGTGTCACAAGCCTTGTGTCACAAGCAAAGTGCAGTCTATGCTGCAGGTGCTCAAGCAGTCATTAATTAAACCACCTCATCCTGCCAATGACATTGGTGTGCAGCTTTGCCTCCTTAAGCAACAGGGCCAATAAACATTGAGTCATGACCCACCTGTCTATGGTATCTAGACTTCATTCAGTCCTACAAGTTCTGACCTTAAAGTCCAAGTTTTAAGGTTAAAGGGTTGTGTTTTCTGCTTATACAGCACTGAATGTTTTCTAAAGGGGTAAACATCTGTTTTTGATGTACTCTAGTTACAGCAGTGCAATCAAGGTGTATGCTTACTGAGGTCCATTAATACCTTCCATTGCAATGTTCAAGCAGGGACTTTACTCCCAGCACACATGCGACTATTTTAAAACTGCTTCTCCCCTGTGAGGAGTCTAACGGTAGGAGTCTTTACATACTCAAACCATTCATATTGATGACTGGAGCTGCTGCGTAAATGCTGCATTGCAGTTTCAATTGAATCAATCCCATAGTCTCTGGCTACGTCCCATTTATTTGTCATTCCTCAAGTGTCCACTTGTTCACTTCCTTCCTGATTTAAGGAATGACTGGCTAAAGAATATGTGGAACACTCCCTCTAGCCATGCTCCATATCACATGCTTTTAAATGTGTGGGAGTGTGAACGAGTGTACACTTCAGAAACGATTATTGGAACGTCACCCCATGTAAAATTTGGCTCCCAGACAACATTCATTGATTCCCTACCCTGAAGCAGGAGGACGGTGCAGCAATCCATGCTTTAGTTGTATTTACCTGGCCAAGTTTCTTTTGCAATATCCCATTTTCGCATGTCCAAGTCATCTTAAATTAATTAAACTACACAATCAAAACGAATGTCATTTTGTAATTTGGGTAAAATATCCTTTTGACTTGGTGTAGGTGCTTAAGAATGGGTCTCTCAAGATCCAACATGGTGGACATAATACGTACCTGATACACTGCATGCCCTCTTTTTCTCTCCAGATCCAACATGGCAGTTGCCAGCATGGCCATGCCTGGCCCCACAGCGGGCCCCATGCTGGGTTTTGATGACTACAGTCTGTACAGCAACCTATCAGATGATGAGCTGATGCAGCTTGCTATCGAACGCAGCCTCTGTGAGACCCACAATGCCACTGCACCGGGTGAAGCCAGCAACATCCCCACAGCTCTAGGCAGAAGAACAGTCCAGTATATGGCAAATCCACCCCCAACCAGGCTGAACCCACCAAATCCACCAAGGCAGGAACCAAGCCATAGGCCGCCTACTGCCAACCCAACTGACGCGTATGTGCCAGCTGAAAAGCGCCTTCATTGTTTTTCATTATCCACTTGGGTCATTGTGAAAGTATGAAAAAAATGTATGCACTCACTAACTGTAAGTCGCTCTGGATAAGAGTGTCTGCTAAATGACTAAAATGTAAATTTGGACACCCTTTACATTAAGTTGTAGGCTACAGATAGTTACATGCACTTCTAATTTCTTGACATAATGACATGTTATTTGCAGATGTATGCATGAGAGTGACTGTTTTCTTAAATAAATGACTTAACGTGACTAAACTATTGACCTGCTAATATTGTTAGCCGGCAAACCAAGAGGCCCCTAGTATCGGTTGTTGACATACGACACCTCGTTAACATGCTGGCCTCATTGCTTCCCGCTGGGCCACGTGCAAAACACCTGTCCTATTGCATCTCATGGCACTGGCCTCTTACCCAACAGGCATTTTAGGAATAGATCCAAGTAGCACAGTCTGAAGTTCACATGCCACCATGGAGGAAAATAGCAACACTGACGAAAACAAATCTTCGTGCAGAGTTGGACGTACTGTTACAGGCTCTAAAAAGTGATCTATGTCACGTTACGGTCTTGGCAGGACAATTTCTGGATTGTGTGTGCAACTTGGCGTTCTAACATATCCTAGCGAAATTAAAAAATATATATAGTAATTGTGCCCTCCAATTGTACATGTTGTATATTAACATACTGTGCACGTCTAATGCCTACCCCTTAGAAAAGCATTCAGAGGAACACTTGAAGGGAGATATGAACCAGAATTGTGATATGGAACAGGTATTTTAGATGTAATACAGAGCAATGAGAATTGATTAAGGAATCAAACATTTCACTTTTGAAGAAACACACATTATCTATTGAGCTTAGGGTCCCTCCATATTAGTTTAGTTAATTTAATGTACACATTTGCAGCAGTCAGCTGTATTACTGTCAACTGACTATACAGTGCCAATCATAAGTATTCACCCCCCTTGGTATTTTGCACATTTTGTTGCGTTACAAAGTAGGATTGAAATTGATTTAATTGTGATTTGTTTTGAGGGGGGGGTTATTGATATACCCAATACTCATTTTTATATACACTGAACAAAAATATGAACGCAACATGTAAAGTGTTGGTCCCATGTTTCATGAGCTGAAATAAAAAAAATACAGAAATGTTCCATACGCACAAAAAGCTTATTTCTCTAAAATGTTGTGCACAAATTTGTTTACATCCCTGTTATTTCTCCTTTGCCAAGATAATCCATCCACCTGACAGGTGTGGCATATCAAGAAGCTAATTAAACAGCATGATCATTACACAGGCGCACCTTGTGCTGGGGACAATAAAAGGCCACTTTAAAATGTGCAGTTTTGTCACACAACACAATGTCACAGATGTCTCAAGTTTTGAGGGAGCGTGCAATTGGACTGCTGACTACAGGAATGTCCGCCAGGGCCTGGCTGGGTGGGCCTGGCTGCCAAGTGGGTGGGCCTATGGCCTCCCGGGCCTCCCCATTGCTGCACCCCTGCCCAGTCGTGATTAGGGCCTAATTTATTTATTTCAATTGACTGATTTCCTTATGAACTGTAACTCAGTAAAATATTAGAATTTGTTGCATATTTTTGTTCAGTATAGTTGTTTTAGAAGTATTCACCCGCTTTGTTTTGGCAAGCCTAAATTAGTTTAGGAGTCAAATGTGGCTTAACAAATCACATGATAAGTTACATTTCACTCTGTGTGAAAAAATAGGGGTTAACATGATTTTTGAATGACTACCCCTTCCTCTGTCCAGACTGTTCCCCATGCATACAACATCTGTACAGTCCCTCAGTCAAGTAGTGAATTTCAAGCACAAATTCAACGACAAAGACTAGAGAGCTTTTTGAAAGCTTCACAAAGAATGGCAGTGATTGGTAGATGGGTAACAATAACAAATCAGACACTGAATATATCTTTAACCAAGGTCAAGTTAGTAAGACTGTGGATGATGTATCAAACCACCCAGACACAACAAAAATACAGTTATCCTTCTGAACTGAGCTGCAGGACAGGAAGGAAACTGCCCAGGGAGGTCACCATGAGGCCAATAGTGATTTTTAAACAGTTCAATGGCTATGATGGGAGAACTGAGGATGGATCAACAACAGTCTAATTGCTCCACAATAATGACCTAAATGACAGAGTGATTTAACTCATTGTTTTATTCAAAAAAAAAAATGCAATTTTCAGCCATTAATGGCCTTCATCAGAACAATGACACAAACTGAATGGACAAGAACATATACTGTAGGTCATGGGGAAGACTCTTACCTAGCTACTTTATAATGTCTTACCTATAACCTACAGGTAACTGCCAAAATAAAGGAAACACCAACATAAATTGTCTTAATTGGGCGTTGGGCCACCACGAGTCAGAACAGTTTCAATGCACCTTGGTATAGATTCTGTTGGAGGGATGTGACACCAATCTTCCACTAGAAATTCCATAATTTTGTGTTTTGTTGATGGTGGTGGAAAACGCAGTCTCAGTTGCCGCTCCAGAATCTCCCAGAAGTGTTCAATTCATCCTCAAAAGGTTCTACAGCTGCACTGCACCGTTTAAAGCATCTTGACTGGGCTGGCAATCACCACTTGGTGACTGCAATGCAGGCATCCGACCAGAAGGCGCTAGCTAACAGACGGTGGGCGTAACGGCCCAGCCATCCTGGGGCCCAAGCTCCCTGCCATCCAGGTCCAGGTGGCCCCCAAAATGTCCAACTCCCATCCAACCCAGCCAGAGTTGTTCTCTCTGCTACCGCAAAGCAAGCGGTACGAGTGCACTGGGTCTGGAACCAACAGGACCCTGAACATCTTCTACCACCCCCAATCCATTACTGTTAAATAGCTTATCAAATTGCTATATGGACTATATGCATTGACCCTTTTTTGCCCCCAACTCTCTTTCACTGACTCTATGCGCGCACACACACTGGACCTAGACCCACACACTCACCCATACTTACACTGACATCCCAACCCACATCCACACTTACACATATGCCCACACGCACACACATGCACCCCCCCCCCCCCACACACACACACACATTCACACTCACCACATATGCTGCTGCTACTGCCTTATCTATCCTGATACCTAGTCACTTTACCCTATATGTAGATAGCTACCACAATTACTTCATACCCCTGCACATCGACTCGGTACTGGTACTCCCTGTATACAGCACCTTCGGATAGTATTCAGACCCGTTGACTTTCACCACATTTTGTTACGTTACAGCCTTATTCTCAAATAGATTCAATTGATTTTTTCCTCATCAATCTTTACACAGTACCCCATAAGACAAAGCAAAAACAGGTATTTATATATTTTTGCAAATGTATAAAAAATTAAAAACCCAAAATATTACATTTACATCAGTACTTTGTTGAAACACCTTTGGCAGTGATTACAGCATCGAGTCTACTTTGGCATGATGCTACAAGCTTGGCACACCTGTATTTGGGGAGTTTCTCCCATTCTTCTCTGCAGATTCTCTCAAGCTCTCTCAGGTTGGATGGGGAGCGTTGCTGCACAGCTATTTTCAGGTCTCTCCAGAGATGTTTGATCGGTTTCAAGTCCAGATTCTAGCTGGGCCACTCAAGGACATTCAGATACTTGTCCCAAAGCCACTCCTGGGTTGTCTTGGCTGTGTGCTTAGGGTCGTTGTCCTGTTGGAAGGTGAACCTTCACCCCAGTCTGAGGTCCTGAGCACTCTGGAGCAGGTTTTCATCAAGGATATCTCTGTACTTTGCTCCATTCATCTTTGTGTGGATCCTGACTAATCTCCCAGTCCCTGCCGCTGAAAAACATCCCCCCAGCATGATGCTGCCACCACCATGCTTCACCGTAGGGATGGTGCCAGGTTTCCCCCAGACGTGTTGCTTGGCATTCAGACCAAAGAGTTCAATCTTGGTTTCATCAGACCAGAGAATCTTGTTTCTCGTGGTCTGAGTCCTTTAGGTGCCTTTTGGCAAACTCCAAGCGGGCTGTCGTGCCTTTTACTGAGGTGTGGCTTCCGTCTGGCCACTCTACCATAAAGGCCTGATTGGTGGAGTGCTGCAGATATGTTTGTCCTTCTGGAAGGTTCTCCATTCTCCACAGAGGAACTCTAGAGCTCTGTCAGTGTCCATCGGCTTCTTGTTTACCTCCCTGACCAAGGCCCTTCTCCCCTGATTGCTCAGTTTGGCAAGGCAGCCAGCTCTAGGAAGAGTCTTGGTGGTTCCAAACTTCTTCCATTTAGGAATGATGGAGGCCACTGTGTTCTTGGGGACCTTCAATGCTGCAGACATTTTTTGGGACCCTTTCCCAGATCTGTGCCTCGACACAATCCTTTCTCAGAGTTGTAAGGACAATTCCTTCGACCTCATGGTTTGGTTTATGCAAAAAAACAAATTTTGATAAAAATTAAAACAGTTTACGTTCAAATGGCTATCCTGTGAAGTAGTGATGCGCGGCATATGCCTAGTTTCCTGAAACGAGTCACATATAGACAGGTGTGCCTTTCCAAATCATGTCCAATCAATTGAATTTACCACAGGTGGACTCTAATCAAGTTGTAGAAACATCTCAAGGATGATCAATGGAAACAAGATGCAACTGAGCTCAATTTCGAGTCTCATAGCAAGGGGTCTGAATACTTATGTAAATAAGGTATTTCTGATTATATTTTAAAAAATAGATTTGCAAACATTTCTAAAAACCTGTTTTCGCTTTGTCAATTTATTTATTTTTATTTAACCTTTATTTAACCAGGTAAGCCAGTTGAGAACAAGTTCTTATTTACAAATGCAACCTGACCAAGATAAAGCAAAGCAGTGTGATAAAAACAACACAGAGTTACATATGGGGTAAAACGAAACAAAGTCAAAAAATACAACAGAAAATATATATACAGTGTGTGCAAATGTAGCAAGTTATGGAGGTAAGGCAATAAATAGGCTATAGTGCAAAATAATTACAATTAGTATTAACACTGGAATGATAGATGTGCAAGAGATGATGTGCAAATAGAGATACTGGGGTGCAAATGAGCAAAATAAATAACAATATAGGGATGAGGTAGTTGGGCGGGCTAATTTCAGATGGGCTGTGTACAGGTGCAGTGATCGGTAAGGTGCTTTGACAACTGATGCTTAAAGTTAGTGAGGGAGATAAGAGTCTCCAGCTTCAGAGATTTTTGCAATTCGTTCCAGTAATTGGCAGCAGAGAACTGGAAGGAATGGCGGCCAAAGGAGGTGTTGGCTTTGGGGATGACCAGTGAGATATACCTGCTGGAGCGCATACTACGGGTGGGTGTTGCTATGGTGACCAATGAGCTAAGATAAGGCGGAGATTTGCCTAGCAGTGATTTATAGATGGCCTGGAGCCAGTGGGTTTGACGACGAACATGTAATGAGGACCAGCCAACAAGAGCGTACAGGTCACAGTGGTGGGTAGTGTATGGGGCTTTGGAGACAAAACGGATGGCACTGTGATAGACTACATCCAATTTGCTGAGTAGAGTGTTGGAGGCTATTTTGTAAATGACATCACCGAAGTCAAGGATCGGTAGGATAGTCAGTTTTACGAGGGCATGTTTGGCAGCATGAGTGAAGGAGGCTTTGTTGTGAAATAGGAAGCCGATTCTGGATTTAACTTTGGATTTGAGATTCTTAATGTGATTCTGGACGGAGAGTTTACAGTCTAACCAGACACCTAGGTATTTGTAGTTGTCCACATACTCTAGGTCAGACCCGTCGAGTAGTGATTCTAGTCGGTGGGCAGGTGCCAGCAGTGTTTGATTGAAGAGCATGCATTTAGTTTTACTACTGTTTAAGACCAGTTGGAGGCTACTGAAGGAGTGTTGTATGGCATTGAAGCTCGTTTGGAGGTTTTTTAACACAGTGTCCAATGAAGGGCCAGATGTATACAAAATGGTGTCGTCTGCGTAGAGGTGGATCTGAGAGTCACCAGCAGCAAGAGCGACATCATTGAAATACACAGAGAATAGAGTCGGCCCAAGAATTGAACCCTGTGGCACCCCCATAGAGACTGCCATAGGTCCAGACAACAGGCCCTCCGATTTGACACATTGAACTCTATCTGAGAAGTAGTTGGTGAACCAGGCGAGGCAGTCATTTGAGAAACAATTTTGGCGGCTAGTTTTAGAAAGAAAGGGTCCAGATTGTCTAGCCCAGCTGATTTGTAGGGGTCCAGATTGTGCAGCTCTTTAGAACATCAGCTGTCTGAATTTGTGTGAAGGAGAAGCGTGGTGGTGGGGGGGGGGGGGGGGGGTAATTTGACATAATATGAGTCAATTGGAGGTGTACCTGTGGATGCATTTCAAGTCCTACCTTCAAACTCAGTGCCTCTTTGCTTGACATCCATGGGAAAATCAAAAGAAATCAGCCAAGACCTCAGAAAAGTGCAACTGCATATAGGGACAAAGATCATACTTTTTGGAGAAATGTCCTCTGGTCTGATGAAACAAAAATATAATTGTTTGGCCATAATGACCATCGTTATGTTTGGAGGAAAAAGGGTGATGCTTGCAAGCCGAAGAACACCATCCCAACCGTGAAGCATGGGGGTGGCAGCATCATGCTGTGGGGGTGCTTTGCTGCAGGAGGGACTGGTGCACTTCACAAAATAGATGGAGTCATGAGGAAGGAAAATTATGTGGATATATTGAAGTAACATCTCAAGACATCAGTCAGGAAGTTAAAGCTTGGTCGCAAATGGGTCTTCCAAATGGACAATGACCCCAAGCATGCTTCCAAAGTTGTGGCAAAATGGCTTAAGGACAACAAAGTCAAGGTACTGGAGTGGCCATCACAAAGCCCTTATAGAAAATGTGTGTGCAGAACTGAAAAAGCATGTGCAAGCAAGGAGGCCTACAACCTGATTCATTTACACCAGCTCTGTCAGGAGGAATGGGCCAAAATTCACCCAACTTATTGTGGGAAGCTTGTGGAAGGCTACCCGACACGTTTGACCCAAGTTAAACAATTTAAAGGCAATGCTACCAAATACTAATTGAGTGTATGTAAACTTCTGACCCACTGGGAATGTGATGAAATAAATAAAAGCTGAAATAAATCATTCTCTCTACTATTATTCTGACATTTCACATTCTTAAAATAAAGTGATGCTCCTAACTGACCTAAAACAGGGCATTAAATGTCAGAAATTGTGAAAAACTGAGTTGAAATGTATTTGGCTAAGGTGTATGTAAACTTCCGACTTCAACTGTATAAACACACAGTGTATATATAGTTTAGTCCCCCATATGTGGTGGATGGAGGTGGGTTCAAAATAATAACGATGATGTTGATGATGATAATTAATAAAGAACTGCACTATTTTTATCTCATTATTTTAACTACAACACTATTTTCACATACTGTATATAGACACTAGTATGGTGCTGGAGATAATGAATATGAGGTCAAGGGGTATGAATACTTTCTGAAGGCATTGTATGTGGACTAAGAGAAAAAGGGTAAGTGTATGATAGTGGTTATGTTTGCCTATTAGGGAGGAGGACACTATCGTGAAAGCCATCCTGAATGGTGATGTGACTACGGTACGAGCTATGGTTAAAGACACCGGGAATAACATACTGCGGCCTGACAAGTATGGATGGATTCCGCTGCACGAGGCTGCATATTATGGCCAAGACCAGTGTGTCAGGGTTCTTCTTGGGGGTAAGTGCAATTCAAAACTCCATAGATGTACACAGTGATGTAGTCATTGGATCATTGTTGTTGTCCTTTTTGGTGAGACTAGTATCACTTTATTTTACAGTCTCATTTCAGCTGGTACTTACCTGCTATTTAACAATGGACATTCTTCTGGGCTCACGTCAAATAATTGAACATTTTAACACAATAGAAGTCCATACCAAATAGTACACCCATTTTAGCCCTAAAAGCGGCAACATATTTTTTTGCTTAAAAGCACCAAAAGGGGTCGTTTTGACCCCAAATTGGTATTAATTGCAAAGAAACACTGTCTGTCAAGCATTAACACTTGTCATTTATTAACCTGTTGTAACACAAGTAAATACCTATATATTTTCAGGGTATGGAGATCTACAACTGTGCCAAATGTTGTGCTTTTACAACAAATTTACTATTGAGCCCACATTTTCAGCTTAGCTGTGCACCATTAATAATACCAAACTAGCAACCTTTCGGTTACTGGCCCAACGCTCTAACCGCTACGCTACCTGCCGCCCCTCATCAGTATACAAAATAAATATACTTTTTAATTCCTCCATATTAACACAGAAATCATGAGAAATTATATTTTTTTGTCTGTAACTAGTTGGTTGGCAAAGTTCAATTTCAGAAGCATAAAAAAAAGGGTTTCAAAATTATGTTATTCTAAATTTACCCCTGTGGGCGCTTTTAGGGTTAACATTTAATTACCATGTATTTTACAGTTTTATCAAGTAAACTAAATAGCTGATTTTAAAATACAGTATAAAATAAAGTAAAAACCTAGTCTCATGTTTGTCTCCCGTGTTCTTCTTTCCACTTTTCAAGCTCAACCTGGTATGATTAACAAGTGCGACCTGAAAGGCCAGACTGCTCTCATCTTGGCGGTGGGCAGGGAAAAGGTGGCCTGTGTAGAGGCACTTCTGGAGAAAGGGGCAGACACAGAACTCGCCACCAAGGAGAGAGAGACCCCCCTCTACAAAGGTAACAAATTTGCCTTAAAGACCTACTAAGACCTACAGTGAGGGAAAAAAGTATTTGATCCCCTGCTGATTTTGTACGTTTGCCCACTGACAAAGAAATGATCAGTCTACAATTTTAATGGTAGGTTTATTTGAACAGTGAGAGACAGAATAATAACAACAAAAATCCAGAAAAACGCATGTTATGTTATAACATAATATAACATATAATGTTATAAATTGATTTACATTTTAATGAGGGAAATAAGTATTTGACCCCCACTCAATCTGAAAGATTTCTGGTTCCCTGGTGTCTTTTATACAGGTAACGAGCTGAGATTAGGAGCACATTCTTAAAGGGAGTGCTCCTAATCTCAGTTTGTTACCTGTATAAAAGACACCTGTCCACAGAAGTATTTAATCAATCAGATTCCAAACTCTCCACCATGGCCAAGACCAAAGAGCTCTCCAAGGATGTCAGGGACAAGATTGTAGACCTACACAAGGTTGGAATGGGCAACAAGACCATCGCCAAGCAGCTTGGTGAGAAGATGACAAGAGTTGGTGCGATTATTGGCAAATGGAAGAAACTCTCTCGGCCTGGGGCTCCATGCAAGATCTCACCTTGTGGAGTTGCATTGATCATGAGAACGGTGAGTAATCAGCCCAGAACTACACGGGAGGATCTTGTCAATGATCTCAAGGCAGCTGGGACCATAGTCACCAAGAAAACAATTGGTAACACACTACGCCATGAAGGACTGAAATCCTGCAGCGCCCGCAAGGTCCCCCTGCTTAAGAAAACACTTATACAGGGCCGTCTGAAGTTGCCAATGAACATCTGAATGATTCAGAGGAGAACTGGGTGAAAGTGTTGTGGTCAGATGAGACCAAAAATCGAGCTCTTTGGCATCAACTCAACTCGCCGTGTTTGGAGGAGGAATGCTGCCTATGACCTCAAGAACACCATCCCCACCATCAAACATGGAGGTGGAAACATTATGCTTTGGGGGTGTTTTTCTGCTAAGGGGACAGGACAACTTCACTGCATCAAAGGGACGATGGACAGGGCCATGTACCCTCAAATATTGGGTGAGAACCTCCTTCCCTCAGCCAGGGTATTGAAAATGGGTCGTGGATGGGTATTCCAGCATGACAATGACCCAAAACACACGGCCAAGGCAACAAAGGAGTGGCTCAAGAAGCAGCACATTAAGGTCCTGGAGTGGCCTAGCCAGTCTCCAGACCTTGATCCCATAGAAAATCTGTGGAGGGAGCTGAAGGTTCGAGTTGCCAAACATCAGCCTCGAAACCTTAATGACTTGGAGAAGATCTGCAAAGAGGAGTGGGACAAAATCCCTCCTGAGATTTGTGCAAACCTGGTGGCCAACTACAAGAAACGTCTGACCTCTGTGATTGCCAACAAGGGTTTTGTCACCAAGTACTAAGTCATGTTTTGCAGAGGGGTCAAATACTTATTTCCCTCATTAAAATGCAAATCAATATATAACATTTTTGACATGCGTTTTTCTGGATTTTTTTTTGTTATTCTGTCTCTCACTGTTCAGATAAACCTACCATTAAAATTATAGACTGATCATGTCTTTGTCAGTGGGCAAACGTACAAAATCAGCAGGGGATCAAATACTTTTTTCCCTCACTGTATATCTGCCAACGTCATTGTTATTATTCTTTTATTCTAAGCGTAGTAAGTCATAGACTACTTGACTGATAGTAAAATAACTTGTTGAGCAGCAACACCGTGAGAAAACCTTGGCTGAAAAACTTGCCGTTGGGCTTGCTGGGCTGCAAATCTGAAAGAAAATTACTGGTATAAGAAACATGGTGGTGGAAAATCCCTCCAGACCATGCCTACACCGATCTAATCTTTTTACATTTGTGGGGTTTACTAGTGAACAAGTGCACACTTCCCGAGAAAGGAGAGGTGATTGGGAGACATACAACTACACCCAAAATCTGCCATTACAGATTCACTCTCCCAGTACCTGCAAGCTGTCTTGAGTACCCTGGGAATAACCCCAAACCCTTGTTTAGGAAACACTTTCTACCATGACTAACAAAGGTTGGGAAATCTTCCATTTATCCCGTCTGTCAATCTTTGACCGTATTCCACAGCTTGTGAAAGGGAGAATGCTGAGATTGTGGCCATTCTTCTGAATCACGGTGCTGTGGTGAATAAACACTGCATCCAGGGCTGGACGGCTTTCCAGGAGGCTGTGAGCCGCAACAGCGTGGAGATCTGTGAGATGTTGGTCCAGGCTGGGGCTAAGCTCAGCCCAACCAACATGTACGGTATCACACCCCTGTTTACTGCAGCCCAGAGTGGATGCGTGGAAACACTTAAATTTCTCATTAAACACGGTACGATTTTATCTGGAAAAGCAGGTGAATTCTGTAGGCCAAATGGATTACACTTAATTGAGACAGTCCACAGACCACATAGAGCTGTTATGGAGCTCTAACCATGGATCTTTGGTTGACGTTTGTTACTGTATGTTACACTGAATATATGTTGTAGGTGCTGATATCAACAGCGAGGCAAGCGATGGGGCCACAGCTCTGTATGAGGCAGCTAAGAATGGCCATGAGGACATTGTGAAGCTTCTTCTTTCTCAGAATGCTGATGCCAACAAAGCGGGCAAGAAAGGACTTCTGCCACTACATATCGCTGCCCAACGAGGAACTGATGGGTAGGCGCAATTAGCTTAAATTACCTTAAAATATGGGAAGACATCCCCGCACAGTACCCTTAAAGGGATAGTTCGCCCAAATTACAAAATTACATATTGGTTTCTTTACCGCGTGAGCAGTCTGTGTGACAAGGTATGACAGCAATCCATGCTTTGTTTACCTGGCCACTGTTTCAAAATGCTAACTTTTTTTGCATTTGTGGCACAAATCCAAGACAAGGCAATGCTACTGATTATTAGCATTTTTTGCACTTCAAGTCCAAATCAGCTCAATGAAGTTACTTATAGATGATTTTTAAATGCTGTATGTCTCATTATATGAGATGCATAGTGCCTTCAGAAAGTATTCATACCCCTTGACTTATTCCACATTTTGTGTGTTAAAGCCTGAATTAAAAATTTATTATATATATATATATATATATATATATATATATATATATATATATATATATATATATATATATATATACAGGGGGGGAAAAAAGTATTTAGTCAGCCACCAATTGTGCATGTTCTCCCACTTAAAAAGATGAGAGAGGCCTGTAATTTTCATCATAGGTACACGTCAACTATGACAGACAAATTGAGAAAAAAAATCCTGAAAATCACATTGTAGGATTTTTAATGAATTTATTTGCAAATTATGGTGGAAAATAAGTATTTGGTCACCTACAAACAAGCAAGATTTCTGGCTCTCACAGACCTGTAACTTCTTCTTTAAGAGGCTCCTCTGTCCTCCACTCGTTACCTGTATTAATGGCACCTGTTTGAACTTGTTATCAGTATAAAAGACACCTGTCCACAACCTCAAACAGTCACACTCCAAACTCCACTATGGCCAAGACCAAATAGCTGTCAAAGGACACCAGAAACAAAATTGTAGACCTGCACCAGGCTGGGAAGACTGAATCTGCAATAGGTAAGCAGCTTGGTTTGAAGAAATCAACTGTGGGAGCAATTATTAGGAAATGGAAGACATACAAGACCACTGATAATCTCCCTTGATCTGGGGCTCCACGCAAGATCTCACCCCCTGGGGTCAAAATTATCACAAGAATGGTGAGCAAAAATCCCAGAACCACACGGGGGGACCTAGTGAATGGCCTGCAGAGAGCTGGGACCAAAGTAACAAAGCCTACCATCAGTAACACACTACACCACAAGGGATTCAAATCCTGCAGTGCCAGACATGTCCCCCTGCTTAAGCCAGTACATGTCCAGGCCCGTCTGAAGTTTGCTAAGACTGCATTTGGATGATCCAGAAGAGGATTGGGAGAATGTCATATGGTCAGATGAAACCAAAATAGAACTTTTTGGTAAAAACTCAACTCGTCGTGTTTGGAGGACAAAGAATGCTGAGTTGCATCCAAAGAACACCATACTTACTGTGAAGCATGGGGGTGGAAACATCATGCTTTGGGGCTGTTTTTCTGCAAAGGGACCAGGACGACTGATCCGTGTAAAGGAAAGAATGAATGGGGCCATGTATCGTGAGATTTTGAGTGAAAACCTCCTTCCATCAGCAAGGGCATTGAAGATGAAACGTGGCTGGGTCTTTCAGCATGACAATGATCCCAAACACACCGCCCGGGCAACGAAGGAGTGGCTTCGTAAGAAGCATTTCAAGGTCCTGGAGTGGCCTAGCCAGTCTCCAGATCTCAACCCCATAGAAAATCTTTGGAGGGAGTTGAAAGTCCGTGTTGCCCAGCGACAGCCCCAAAACATCACTGCTCTAGAGGAGATCTGCATGGAGGAATGGGCCAAAATACCAGCCACAGTGTGTGAAAACCTTGTGAAGACTTACAGAAAACGTTTGACCTGTGTCATTGCCAACAAAGGGTATATAACAAAGTATTGAGAAACTTTTGTTATTGACCAAATACTTATTTTCCACCATAATTTGCAAATAAATTCATAAAAAATCCTACAATGTGATTTTCTGGATTTTTTTTTCTCATTTTGTCTGTCATAGTTGACGTGTACCTATGATGAAATTTACAGGCCTCTCTCATCTTTTTAAGTGGGAGAACATGCACAATTGGTGGCTGACTAAATACTTTTTTTCCCCACTGTATATCTCACCCATCTACACGCAATACCCCATAATGAAAAAGTGAAAACATGTTTTTCGATTTTTTTGCAAATGTATTGAAAATGAAATACAAAAATATATAATTTACATAATTATTCACACCTCTGAGTCAATACTTTTTTTTCAATGGGATTCAAGTCTGGGCTTTGGTTGGGACACTCAAGGACTTTCACATTCTTGTTCTGAAGCCATTCCAGCGTTGCTTTGGCAGTATGCTTGGGGTCTTATCCTGTTGAACGTAAATCTTCGACCCAGTCGAAGGTCATTTGCACTCTGAAACAGGTTCTCATCAAGGATTTTCCTGTATTTGGCTCCATTCATTGTTCCCTCTATCCTCAGTCTCCCAGTCCCTGCCACTGAAAAGCTTCCCCATAGCATGATGCTGACACCACCATGCTTCACGGTAGGGATGGTTTTAGATGGGTGATTAGCTGTGCCTGGTTTTCCCAAGACATAACGCTTTGCATTCAGGCCAAAGAGTTCAATTTTTGCCTTATGCTCTCTCTTTCACGTGCCTTTTTGCAAATTCCAGGCTTGCTGTCATGTGCCTTTTTCTCAGAAGTGGCTTCCATCTGGCCACTCTCCCATAAAGTCCAGATTGGGGAAGTGCTGTAGAGACCGTTGTCCTTCTAGCAGGTTCTCCCATCTCAGCCAAGGAACTCTGTAGTTCTGTCAGAGTGGTCATTAGGTTCTCGTCACCTCCCTGACCAAGGTCCTTCTTGCCCGGTTGCTCAGTTTGGTCGGACGGCCAGCTCTAGGCAGAGTCTGGGTAGTTCCATATATTTTCAATATCTCAATGTTGGAGACCACTGTGCTCTTGGAAACTTTCAACATTCTAGAAATTGTTTAAACCCTTCCCCAGATACATGCCTCGTGACAATTCTATCTCGGAGATCTACAGACAGTTCCTTGGACTTGGTATAGTTTGTGCTCTGGCATGCACTGTCAACTGTGGGACCTTATATAGACATGTGTGTTTCTTTCTAAATCATGTCCAAACAATTGAATTGGCCACAGATGGACTCCTATCAAGTTGTAGTGAAATCTCAAGCATGATCAAAGGAAATTGGATGCCCCTGAGCTCAATTTGGAGTGTCATAGCAACGCGTGTGAATAGTTATGCAAATTAGATATTTATGTATTTTATTTTCAATACATTTCTAAAAACATGTTTTCACTTTGTCATTATTGGGTATTGGGTGTAGCTGGGTGAGAGGTAAAAAAAAACAATTTGATCCCTTTTGAATTCAGGGTTCAACAAAGGAAGTCAATGGGTATGTAGACTTTTACAAATAGCCTACACCAGAGATAGCCAAATGATTATAATTATGTTGCTTACCCCTGGCCTACATATTATTATTATTATTATTATTATTATTATGTATATTATTATCATACATTGTTGTATTGTTTCCAGAAAAACCCTGCTGACCTATGACATCTACAATTATGACAAGTCAGTTAAGTAAGTGCCTATGTCTGTCTGGAGTTGCCAATGAAGTTGTGGTAGATAAGCGCTCCTTTAACATGTGACTTTAACCCAAGCTTTGCTCAGTAGAAGACGTATTTGACAGTTATTAAAACGTTATCTCTGGAATGTTTTTTGGTCCTCTGTAATATTGTTGTATATTAATATTTTTATGTTTTCTGTAACCATTGCTTTGTTTATGCAGGTTTATTTTGTGTTTGCTTTTTAATGTGTTGTCATTGTCAGTAAATGTAATAATTCACACTCAATCCATTGAGTGGAATGCTATCCATGATGTTCATCCCCATGTGTTCAATGTGTGTGGTATGTTAAACAACACAATTATCTAAGCTTTTAGCATTATAGCAAGCTGTCCGTTTACAGTATCAGAGGAAACCTGCTCACACAAGGTGAATTGGATGTTGGAAAACAGCTCCAAAGCTGATAAATCGATTCACCACCTGGTCCCAAAAAATGTTTTGGGCCATGAATGGCTACCTCAACATGCAATCTTTCATGGGGGTCAAAGGTCATACATGTATGCATTTTGGGGTATATTGAGCCAAAATGGACAGTATTGGGATATGCTCTATTATCACATGGTACCCAGATGATAACTACACTAAATCTCACACAGAACAAGATTTTGTCTGCAATCAGACCCAGTAGCCTATTTTCAAGATGGCCACCATTAATTTCAATGGGGAGGAACTGCATTGATTTTGCATGGTCCTAACTGAATAAAAAAATTAGTGTAATAAGATCATAATGAGTGCACCAATCTTTACAGTGATACCTAGCTATTGTACACATTTTCCAATATGGCCACCAACCGGCTCCATTGGTTTTAATTGGATTGGTCTGACATTGACACAACTCTTTCAAAAATAGGTAGAATATGCCTAATGATATTTAAAGGTTTGCAAAATATATAATCTTTGTAAAATATTAGCAACATTTTTCAAAAAATGTGCCAGAAACACAATGTATAAATCATATAACTGTTTTTGGTCAGTATTTGAATCCCTAATTTCTGTATTTTATTTTCAAACAATTAAAAATGTGTCTATAATATTCCTAAAGGGATCTTTCACTGGTTTGTAGTGATTATGATAAACAATATTATGCCATATTGTTAAATATAAAATATATGTCTTGAATCCTGTCATAATCACTGCATTCCAACATAACATTCTAACAAACTGTCTGATGGGAATCAACTTACATAGCTGGTGAAATATTAAAGCCTTAGGTTTACAGCCTTCATAGATAGTGTCTAGTTACACTATTTATGAAAAAATAGTATATTGTAATATAGGGCCTACTGAAAAATGTATTGGTTAGTGGCTGCTGAGGGTTGTCGAGGGCATAAGCAATGGTCTAATTGCTAAAAGGCTGGATTTTTTTCGAATTACTAATTGCATTATTTCTATAAAACATGTCAACCAGCCACTGAACTAATGGCTACAAAATGATTAGGTAACATATTTCATAAAATAACTTGTAAGGTTAGAGAGCATACTTTTAAGATCATGATGGTCAGGCACAGAAACTATAATAATCACCAATGTTCCTTTTAGAGATAATGAGTTGTTTACCTAAATCTTTGTGTTAACTTGCTGGGACAACTCAACAAATGACTGAGCACACCTTTCATCTCAGCATGTTGAGTATTTCTATGCAACAGACTATTACAGGTGGCAACTATAAAACCAATACACTACCAGATTTGAATATCTTGGACTTGTATTATTTCCCAGTATGACCAATTTCCCTAAAACAAATATATAGTTCTGCTATTTATAACATTGTTGTTTGAATGAGTCAGTCTAGTTTATTCATCTGGAAAATTTACCAAATCCCATGGTTTTTCAGATGAGATCCACCCAATTGAATGTTCCATTGTTGTTTGATAGTCATTTTCAATGAGCATGTGAACATTCCAACTTGTCTCAACATTCATTTGTCAGCCTGTGAACATTATATTGCATAGACTCCCTACAACAAGATATATAAAGGTGTGGAAAACATAGAAAGCAACATTTTTGGAGAGGGTATCAGATATCAATTTGATCAGGGGCTTGTGGGGAACAATTTACCATCAAACCTTTGCCTCACTAAAGTGGACACATTTTTCCACTGACACATGGACTATAACTTCCAAACCAGCAAAATGGAAAGATGTTACATTCCAAATATTTAGCAAAATATAATGTTTTAAAAGTGCAAACAACTCGAGTTTTTTGCTATGCAAGATGCGATCTTGCCCATAGAAATATAATTAATCATTCTATGTGATCTTGCCACAGATAACCATTCTGATTGGTTACTGATGATGCAATTCAAGTTCTGGAGGATACGTTCAGCTAACCTCGGTCCAATGCTGTGATTTCACTGCTGGTGTCCATTCTTTCTTTTGAATAGACTTCAAGTGCAAAAATGCATGAAAATGCAAAGCCTTTGTCAAATACATTGGGCAGAAGTGAATGAATCTATAAATATGAATATATATACTGAACAAAAATATAAATGCAACATGCAACAATTTCAAAGATTTTACTGAGTTACAGTTCATATGAGGAAATCAGTCAATTTAAATAAATTCATTAGGCCTTAATCTATGGATTTCACATGACTGGGAAAGCACCCCCACAGCATGATATTGCCACCCCCGTGCTTCACAGTTGGGATGGTGTAGGAGCAGTGGCTTCTTCCTTGCTGAGCGGCCTTTCAGTTTATGTCGATTTAGGACTCGTTTTACTGTGGATATAGATACTTTTGTACCTATTTCCTCCAGCATCTTCACAGGGTCCTTTGCTGTTGTTCTGGGATTGATTTGCACTTTTTGCACCAAAGTACGTTCATCTCTAGGGGACAGAACACATCTCCTTCCTGAGCGGTATGACGGCTGTGTGGTCCCATGGTGTTTATACTTGCATACTATTGTTTGTACAGATGAATGTGGTACCTTCATGCATTTGGAAATTGCTCCCAAGGATGAACCAGACTTGTGGAGGTCTACAATATTGTTTCTGAGGTCTTGGCTGATTTATTTTGATTTTCCCATGATGTCAAGCATTGAGGCACTGAGTTTGAAGGTAGGCCTTGAAATACATCCACAGGTACACCTCCAATTGACTCAAATGATGTCAATTAGCCTATCAGAAGCTTCTAAAGCCATGACATCATTTTCTGGAATTTTCCAAGCTGTTTAAAGGCACAGTCAACTTAGTGTATGTAAACTTCTGACCCACTGGAATTGTGATACAGTGAATTATAAGTGAAATAATCTTTCTGTAAACAATTGTTGGAAAAATGACTTGTGTCAAACATAAAGTAGATGTCCTAACCGACTTGCCAAAACTATAGTTTGTTAACAAGAAATTTGTGGAGTGGTTGAAAAACGAGTTTTAATGACTCCAACCTAATTGTATGTAAACTTCAGACTTCAACTGTAATATAATAAATAGTCTTAAGGGCTGATAATGTTGCAGCTGCTCTTGTGGTGATACTGATGATTTGTTGACTCCATTCGTGGGAACCGCTCATGTCATGGCCATCTATGTAATCATGGGCTTGAACAAGGTGAGCAAATTGCTTATATGGCTTACACTACCGTTCAAAAGTTAGAAATGTCCTTGTTTTCGAAAGTAAATCAATTTTTTTGTCCATTAAAATAAAATCACATTGATCAGAAATACAGTGTAGACATTGTTAATGTTGTATATGGCTATTGTAGCTGGAAACGGCTGATTTTTTTTATGGAATATCTACATAGGCGTACAGAGGCCCATTATCAGCAACCATCAGTCCTGTGTTCCAATGGCACGTTGTGTTTGTCATTAGAAACCCCTTTTGCAAATATGTTAGCACAGCTGATCCATGTTGTGCTGATTTAAAGAAGCAATAAAACTGGCCTTCTTGAGACTAATTGATTATCTGGAGCATCATCAATTGTGGATTCGATTACAGAATCAAAATGGCCAGAAACAAAAAACTTTATTCTGAAACTCATCAGTCTATTCTTGTTCTGAGAAATTAAGGCTATTCCATGCGAGAAATTGCCAAGAAACTGAAGATCTCGTACAACGCTGTGTGCTACTCCCTTCACAGAACAGCACAAACTGGCTCTAACCAGAATAGAAAGAGGAGTGGGAGGCCCCGGTGCACAACTGAGCAAGAGGACAAATACATTAGAGTGTCTAGTTTGAGAAACAGACACCTCACAGGTCCTCAACTGGCAGCTTCATTAAATAGTACCTGCAAAACACCAGTCTCAACATCAACAGTGAAGAGGCTACTCCGGGATGCTGACATTCTAGGCTTGTTGCAAAGAAAGTTGCAAAGAAAAAGCCATATCTCATCCTGCCCATCATAATCTTTTCTTTTTATTGGCCTGTCTGAGATATAGCTCACCCAAATAATCTATACAGTGGGGGAAAAAAGTATTTAGTCAGCCAACAATTGTGCATGTTCTCCCACTTAAAAAGATGAGAGAGGCCTGTAATTTTCATCATAGGTACACGTCAACTATGACAGACAAAATTAGAATTTTCTTTCTCCAGAAAATATATTTATATATATTATATTTTTAGTCATTTAGCAGACGCTCTTATCCAGAGCGACTTACATTAGCAATTAGGGTTAAGTGCCTTGCTCAAGGGCACATCGACAGATTTTTCACCTAGTCGGCTCGGGGATTAGAACCAGCGACCTTTCGGTTACTGGCACAACGCTCTTAACCACTAAGCTACCTGCCGCCCAAAATCACATTGTCTGATTTTTTATGAATTTATTTGCAAATTATGGTGGAAAATAAGTATTTGGTCAATAACAAAAGTTCCTCAATACTTTGTTATATACCCTTTGTTGGCAATGACACAGGTCAAATGTTTTCTGTAAGTCTTCACAAGGTTTTCACACACTGTTGCTGGTATTTTGGCCCATTCCTCCATGCAGATCTCCTCTAGAGCAGTGATGTTTTGGGGCTGTCGCTGGGCAACACGGACTTTCAACTCCCTCCAAAGATTTTCTATGGGGTTGAGATCTGGAGACTGGCTAGGCCACTCCAGGACCTTGAAATGCTTCTTACGAAGCCACTCCTTCGTTGCCCGGGCGGTGTGTTTGGGATCATTGTCATGCTGAAAGACCCATCCACGTTTCATCTTCAATGCCCTTGCTGATGGAAGGAGGTTTTCACTCAAAATCTCACGATACATGGCCCCATTCATTCTTTCCTTTACACGGAAAAACAGCCCCAAAGCATGATGTTTCCACCCCCATGCTTCACAGTAGGTATGGTGTTCTTTGGATGCAACTCAGCATTCTTTGTCCTCCAAACATGACGAGTTGAGTTTTTACCAAAAAGTTATATTTTGGTTTCATCTGACCATATGACATTCTCCCAATCCTCTTCTGGATCATCCAAATGCACTCTAGCAAACTTCAGACGGGCCTGGACATGTACTGGCTTAAGCAGGGGGACACGTCTGGCACTGCAGGATTTGAGTCCCTGGCTGCGTAGTGTGTTACTGATGGTAGGCTTTGTTACTTTGGTCCCAGCTCTCTGCAGGTCATTCACTAGGTCCCCCCGTGTGGTTCTGGGATTTTTGCTCACCGTTCTTGTGATCATTTTGTCCCCACGGGGTGAGATCTTGCGTGGAGCCCCAGATCGAGGGAGATTATCAGTGGTCTTGTATGTCTTCCATTTCCTAATAATTGCTCCCACAGTTGATTTCTTCAAACCAAGCTGCTTACCTATTGCAGATTCAGTCTTCCCAGCCTGGTGCAGGTCTACAATTTTGTTTCTGGTGTCCTTTGACAGCTCTTTGGTCTTGGCCATAGTGGAGTTTGGAGTGTGACTGTTTGAGGTTGTGGACAGGTGTCTTTTATACTGATAAAAAGTTCAAACAGGTGCCATTAATACAGGTAACGAGTGGAGGACAGAGGAGCCTCTTAAAGAAGAAGTTACAGGTCTGTGAGAGCCAGAAATCTTGCTTGTTTGTAGGTGACCAAATACTAATTTTCCACCATAATTTGCAAATAAATTCATAAAAAGTCCTACAATGTGATTTTCTGGATTTTTTTCCCTCAATTTGTCTGTCATAGTTGACGCGTACCTATGATGAAAATTACAGGCCTCTCTCATCTTTTAAGTGGGAGAACTTGCACAATTGGTGGCTGACTAAATACTTTTGTGACTTTGTTAAGCATCACAATCAATTTGAGATACTTTTAGATAATTTGTACATGATGCGTGAAAAATCATAATATCGGTCCCATGACTTCAATGGGATTTGTGCCACAAATGCTAAAACCTGTCATAGCTTGTCCATAGACTGCTTACAGAGTAAGGAAACCAATATGTAATTTTTATCCCTTTAAAGCAGTAATGTGTGAGTTATAGATCTGTCATTCTTATTGAAAGCAAGTCTATGAAGCGGTAGATATGTACTATTTGTGCTATTTCTATGCTTTCCCCTTATTATGTTTAATTTTTGTACACCAGCTTCAAACAGCTGAAAATTATTATTTTTTGGTTATGGAGAATATATTCCACAGCGGTTTAGATGCTACAACGATTATCTACACTATACTTGCTTTATTTCTCACGTGTTAGAATTTTAGCAACCAGGAAATGTTGGAGGGATTTCTGCATAGTGCATCTTTAATTGTTGACCATGTAACGCTAGTGCTTAAAATAATCATAACAAATCTTATTGTGGACTAAAAGTCAGAATCACTCCAAATATGGTCTTTGGAATCATCACAATAGTCCCTAAAGAGTTTCAGAACATAACATTGATGCATTCAAAGATGACCACACTATACCGGTAGATGCACTTACATTAATATGCTACAATATGCTAAAAACACTTCATTCTTATTGCCATGAACAATAGGACCAAATGACACCATTTGGAATGTAGGCCCATGGTACATTTCTTAACTTAGTTTGAAAAAAGCTAAGGGATTGGTAAAAAGATGGCTGAGTTATTGACAAATCAAAAATCAGATTTTACGTGTCCATTTAAACCCCTGTAAAACACAGTGGCTTATCAACTTGAAACTTGTCATCGCTATCATGCATGTCCCTAAGATTAACCACACAATTTGGTATTGTTATCTTAAAAACCAGAAAACTATTAACAACTCATTTGCATATGTAACACTAATGCTCAAAATCATCTGCATTCATCTTCTCCTCATGAACCATACTTCAGATTCACTCCAGATTTGTATTTAGACTCATTACATCAGTCTTTAATGGTTTTGAGAAAAAATTGTTGCTGCATTCAAATATGGCCGCATTGTACCTATAGACTCAGTGAAGTAGCCTCTAATGAATTTGAGAAAGGTAACCAACCTACAGCACTTGACTAAACTTAACTTGCGTCATCCTTGTTGTATTGCAAGATAAACATGGTAATGCTTTCACTGACTGCACATAAAGGAAGATTGTTTCTACTTGATAGTGCTTGCTTTGTTTTCCAACTGATCTTGTGTCCTTTCTGTCATCCTGTGAGGATTGTGCTCTCCCCCCTTCCCTCTATCCTTTACACTACCCTACCTGCTAGTTTCTGTTTCCGACTCCACCGACTTCCCTCTCACTTGCACCTTCCACCAGGAGTCCTGCACCTCAACTGGAAGAAACAGAAGTTAGAAAGGGATTCTCAACCAATGATAATGCTGAAGTAATCATTCAGTTTGTAGAGTACACAATGCAAAATTCCGGTTGGAGGATTCCCGCAATCAGGAGGGTAATAACCAGGGAGGGAATTCTCCATCTGGGAATACTCCAACTGGGATTTCTGAAAAACGTGGACGTTTTGGGGGAATTTTTCAACCCTACCCCCTGATCCTCAACTCTGGGCACCCATTAATTTCCCATGTGGTTTTCTATTTCAGTATCGTGTTGTTGCTGATCAAAGCCACCAGTAAGTCCAGAGTGAATCGCAGTGGCATCAGTCCCCTCCACCTGGCCGCCGAGTGCAACAGGGACGAAGTCCTGGAGGTCCTAATTGAGGCCGGCTACGATGTTGACGCCATACTGTCGGAGGACCACTCCAAGATGTACGAGGATCATCGCAGCACAACACTATACTTTGCCGTCGCCAACGGCAACGTGGAAGCGACCACCATGCTTCTAGAAGCTGGCGCCAACCCCAACCTAGACACCTTCAACACGCTACTGGTGGCTGTGAGGCAGGGTAGTATCGAATTGGTCACTTTGCTGGTGGAGCACGGGGCCAACGTTAACGCATACGTCCCCACTCACCCCACCTCATTCCCGGCCACTGTCATGTTCAGTATGAAGTACCTGTCCATGCTGAAGTATTTGATGGACAATGGCTGTGATGCCCACTCCTGTTTTAGTTGCACTTACGGCAGTGGTCCACATCCACCCATTAAGGAGACCTCTGAGAGGGATTACTTGCGCTACAATAACGATACACGAAGGAATACCAGGGAACCTGTTCAGGTAAACAAAATAAGAGTTAAATATTTAGTATGTGCATGAGTAATATATTCAGATACACTGTAAATATAATGGTGAATCCTATATATTGAGTTCCCACTTTACAAAAAGTGTTAAATTATAAATGTACATGGGAGTTAAATAGGCTGGTATAGTTATTATACTACATAGTAGTTCCAATTATACCACAGTCAGGTATAACAGCTGTAAGTACTATGTAACAATGTTTACCTACACTGTAATCTCCTATGTAACTGTCATGCTGTCATGTTATCACAGGTATTTGGGACATTTTCTTGTGGGGACTTAAAAATACAATATACCATAGCCTACCATTGCTTAATGTGTTTCCATCATTAGTTCTGTGAGATCATCTCAACTCAGGCAATAAACCGCTGGGCAGGACCCATCATAGACGTACTCCTGGATTATGTTGGCCATGTGAAACTCTGCTCTAGACTTACTGAACACCTAGATAGCTTCGAGGACTGGGAAGTCATCAAGGAGAAAGCAAGTGAGTGTCCCCGGACTTGCAAACAAACACACACATACATACCCATACTGTACACACACACAGACACACCTACACATACACTCTTAGAATTTTTTTTAGAACCTTTAAGAGTTTTTCGGCTGTAGGAGAACCCTTAGAATAACCATTTTTGGTTCCAGGTAGAACCCTTTTGGGTTCCATGTAGAGCGTCACATATTACCGTATCTGTTACCATTGTCTTCCAGCGCCACCGCGTCCACTGATGCAGCTGTGTAGGCTGAAGATCCGGCAGCAGGTTGGAATCCACAGACTGAGGTGCATCAACAAACTGCCCCTCCCTCCACGAGTAATCAAGTACCTTAACCACGAATAGCGCAACCAAGACGAGTTTTGTGCATACTAGAGAGTCATAACAAGAGCCGACAGAGGGAAATGCCGCACAAAATCGATTGACATAATCTGTATTTATCGTGTGAATATGTTACTGATATTTGAGCAGTAATGTAGAGTACAGTTACATTTCACAATTAAACTTTAAGACCAGACTTATATAGTAATTTAATTAGCTCACTCGATTTAGGTAGACTTACCAAAGTTGGTAGCATTTTATTTGACTGTTGTAGACATTACTAGGTATTTTCTAGTAACGACTTTTATTTAAATTACTAGGTATTCGCAAGTCCATGGTAAAATGGTAATTACAGTAATAACCTATGAATTACTTGTTTGTTTCAGTGAGACCAATTTAAGCTAAATTATTAAACAAATATTGAAATGGGTTTTTGTCAAGTTTAGAAAATCTACCTGTTTGAGTGTACTATAATTTTGGGGCGATATAGGACCCTGTAAGGCAGGCTTTTATCAATTGGTGAAAAATTATTGAATATGTTCAACCTTAGTTGAGACTTTATAATCTTGTTATTGAGAATGGTCTATTCAATTTCTCAATGGAAGATAAATATGAAATAAATACACAAATGGCTTGTTGTCAAGGTTTGGAAAGCTGCCTATTTGATTGTACAGTGTTTTTGGGGCATAATTTGACCCTTTTAGGCTGCCTTATATGTGTATATATACGTTGTGTTTTTGTAAATATTCGATTTTTACAGTTTGACTTATGTCAAAGGTAGGAGTTGAACATTAAGGTTTACAGCATTTACTGTGAGTAAATTTCACAGGAGAGATTGAGAATATGAGAGCAAAACACTATTTAATTTGATATGTGTAAATAGATTCCAATTTATGTATTTGCAGTATTCTGTATGACCTCTGAGGTAAGGGTCACCTTTTTCTAATATTTGGGTATATTTCTCTAAAGGTGACCTCCATGTACTTGTATTTCCGATCATGGAAACAATTCAATCTTGTGCCTAAGGAAAAAAATAAACATAATTTGAAAACCAATTTTCAATGGGTTGGTCATCAGTCATCAAATTGTCCATTAGTCCAGTAATTAACAGTTCAAAAAAATTACTCAGCGATTGTATTAACTGTGATATGCAATAATTACATAGTTGGTGTTTCCAGTTTTAGGGTCCAGCATTCCTGGATAAATAATGATTGTTGATTTAGAATTGTGTGTGCGTGTACTTGCACTTCACTTCAGACAAACTCCTCATGATGGAGCCAAATGACTTCACAGAGGATTGCTCTATGGATAAAGTTTAGTTTATACCTCCATCCCTCTTGCCCTCTAGCGTTAGACAGAACTACTACTGTAGTTCACAGGAGGTTGGCGGCACCTTAATTAGAGAGGACGGGCTCATGGTAATGGTTGGAGTGGAATTAGTGGAATGGTATCAAATACACTACATGAACAAAAGTATATGGACACCTGGTCGTCGAACATCTCATTCCAAAATAATGGGCATTAATATGGAGTTGGTCACCCCTTTGCTGCTATAACAACCTCCAGTCTTCCACTAGATGTTAGAACATTGTTGTGGGGACTTGCTTCCATTCAGCCATAAGAGCATTAGTAAGGTCAGGCACTGATGTTGGGCGATTAGGTATGGCTAGCAGTCAGTGTTCCAATTCATCCCAAAGGTGTTCAATGGGGTTGAGGTCAGGGCTCTGTGCAGGCCAGTCAAGTTCTTCCACACCGATCTCGACAAACCATTTCTGTATGGACCTCGCTTTGTGCATGGAGGCATTGTCATGCTGAAACAGGAAAGGGCCTTCCCCAAACTGTTGCCACAAAGTTGGAAGCACAGAATCTTCTAGAATGTTATTGTATGCTGTAGCATTAAGATTTCCCTTCATTAGAACTAAGGGGCCTGGCCTGAATCATGAAAAACACTCCTATTATTCCTCCTCCACCAAACCTTACAGTTGGCACAATGCATTGGGGCAGGTAGCGTTCTCCTGGCATCCGCCAAACCCAGATTCATCCGTCGGACTGCCAGATGGAGAAGCGTGATTCATCACTTCAGAGAACACGTTTCCACTGCTCCAGAGTCCAATGGCGACAAGCTTTACACCCCTCCAGCCGACGCTTGGCATTGCGCATGGTGATCTTAGGCTTGTGTGCGGTAGTGGATTGTGGAACTCGGTAGTGAGTGTTGCAACCGAGGACAGACGATTTTTACGCGCTATGCGCTTCAGCACTTCACGGTCCCGTTCTGTGAGCTTGTGTGGCCTACCATTTGCAGCTGAGCCGTTGTTGCTCCTAGACATTTCCACTTCACAATAACAGCACTTACAGTTGACCGGGGCAGAAATTTGACGAACTGACTTGTTGGAAAGGTGGCATCCTATGACAGTGCCACGTTGAAAGTCTCTGAGCTCTTCAGTAAGGCCATTCTACTGCCAGTGTTTGTCTATGGAGATTGCATGGCTGTGTGCTCGATTTGATACACCTGTCAGCAACGGGTGTGGCTGAAATAGCCAAATCAACTAATTTGAAGGGGTGTCCACATACTTTTGTATAATCAAACACATGGTTTGATGCCATTCCATTTGCTCCATTCCAGCCATTATTATTATTTTTTATTTATTTAACCTTTATTTAACCAGGTAAGCCAGTTTAGAACAGGTTCTCATTTACAACTGCGACCTGGCCAAGATAAAGCAAAGCAGTGCAATAAAAACAACACAGAGTTACATATGGGGTAAAAAAACATAAAGTCAAAAATACAACAGAAAATATATATACAGTGTGTGCAAATGTAGCAAGTTATGGAGGTAAGGCAATAAATAGGCTATAGTGCAAAATAATTACAATAGTATTAACACTGGATTGGATTATGAGCTGTCTTCCCCTCAGCAGCCTCCACTGTAGTTATATTGTTAGACTATAGCATGGCTGTACCACACAACCCAATGATGTGCATTATTCATGCAATGTACTGTCCATGTTATGATGGCCCACATTTTTACACGTGACTGATTACAGGATCCTAGGCTTATTGTAATTTTTGACAAAAACTGTAATTTACATTTTATAAAAGTACAGACTCAGAGCTTTGGAGAAAGTAATGGGAAAGTAATACTGCTTTGAAAGTTGATAAACTTTTAGGCCCACTTTTGAGAAAAAGCCCTTGAAAGATTTTGCTCTGATTTTCACACTTGCTAGCGGACTCTTCTTTGTTTACACCTATTCAGCGTTGTTCACACCATCTTGACCCCTTAGAGTCGATTGACGCACAACGGTACGTCAATCTAAGTAACATAATAATAACATAATAAAAAAATTCCCCATCAAAATCCGTCAGTTTAAGCTAGAGATATTTGTTTTGTCTCAATCCACCGCATCCGTCAATGTCGCACTTCCACATCTGCGGTGAAAGGTGGCAGAGCTAGAGCTGTGTTTGTCAGACCATGAAACATCCTGAAAATCGGTCTTCTCGCCAAAACGTCTGTAGAATTTGAACGGTTTAGCCTACAAACTAATATGACCAAGATGAGATTCTCACAAACACGACTGCTCTACGACCCCCACAAGTGTCAGGGGACTCGTCTGAAGTCGATACCGTCTATGTGCCAACTTCTGTTTAGGCTACAAACTAATACGACCCCACTGTTGAAAAGGGAGAATCTCACGAACACGAGGCTGTTCTCCAATTTATCCTGAGCTTTCTTATATCTCCTAGATACAGGACAGAGAGTTCAAAACCTTGTTCCTTATGATTGATTTTTGTATTGTTTTTTTGCCATTTATGAATGTGTTATTCAATGCTTTTCTATGGGCTATAGTAGTAAAGGCCAATGTAATATTTTATTAAATAACTGTTATATATATATTTTTTACACCTAAAGTGGTCCTAAAATTCTACATCAAATAGCTAAATGATCCATGGTATGACCCTCCCGCCAATGGCTTAGACTCTTAAGAATAAAGCCTTACCGCCCCCCACCCATCTCTTTCAGAATTCACATGTAAACATGAGTCAGCATGGCATTGTCCTCCAGAAAGTAGTCTCTCACAACTTTTTTCCACTGTGCTTTGTCGATAGCACAAACAAAGTTGGGCAGCAATGTTGTTGAGAGCTGGAGCAACACTTTTGCAGTTGTCCATAACTATATCTTTAAAAAAATCCATGGTAGCAAAGATGATCTATGTACTGACCAGTGGCGATTTTAGCATGTAAATCTTGGTGGGGCAAACAAAACAAAAGATTGGGGGGGGATGCATGCCAGCAAAGCCACTACACAACACAACACTAAACAATACATAAATTGCACTATAACGGTGACAAACGGTGCCCACAAACTGTTAGGGCCTACATAAAGCTGTCCCAACCGCAGAGTCCCAACAGCAGTCCCAACACCTTACCACTGCTACACCTGGCTATCAGTGGAGCCTTGTCTGGCAGAGAAACAGTTCATTCAGCCTCATTTACTGCCTTTAAAAAAAACATAGCTGATATGGCTGACTTGCTTAAACAAATGTGGTTTCTACTGACAATTGAGATGTACAAACTATGGCATAAGGGGACAACGAGCGGATAAGAGGCAATCCGTAATTTCGATTAAGACATTAATGAGCGAGCTAGGACGGACGTAGTCAATATAACTATTTGTTCAGAACTTTTTAAATGTACAGCGAAAGAATTCAGAACATGGTATTCATTCCTACGGTTCTGACTTGGTGTACAGGGAGAATACTGTACACCAAGTCAGAACCGTAGGATAAATAAAGGGGGCATATAAGCAGACAATGAAAGCTCTTACAGTATTCTATGATTACATTTCTCTAAAACAGGTTATAGGCTACATTTGCACCACCAAGACAGAACAGTAGGCGAAATTAAGAGGGTAAAATATACCAAATTATTATGGTGAGGCACAGGGTCTACTAACAGCTTACTA